GAGGGCAGAAGCAATCTTTTTGATTAGATGTGCTATCAATAAAATCCAGGTATTTGGGATGTGTCATTTGCAGCTCCACACCAAAAACCAAGCTCACTGCCATCAATTCAACTCTGACTAATTGCAACCCGAGAATTGTCCCCGAGTTTCAGTGACTGTTTACTTACAAGTAGTAGAAAGAATTCTCTTGCATGGAGCAACTTGTGGTTTCTACTGGCTCACTTTTTGCTGATCAGTCTAAGATATAATCATTACGCCCAAAGGGCTTTTTCTTTGCAGGTACCAACTATAAATAAAAGCTATGCAAAACTGCTGACTACAATCACTAGTCACAATTTGAAACAAAGGTTTTTCAGTATATCAACCATGTAATTGTTTACCGTAATAAATCCGTATCCCTTGGATCGACCAGTTTCACTATCCATCATGAGCTGAATACTTTCGATCTAAAATAGAATAATGTATTTAATAAAAAGGATGTATTCTCAACACAAAGCTCAACAAAACCCGATAAACACACCCTGCAACCAACATTATTACGTTAATAACCAATGCCATTAAAAAAGAAATACAATCTCCATGCCCCTTTCCCAATCCCATCAGTGACACCCTTTAAAAAAAAATTTTTTTTAAATTCTTTTCCCGACTCTGGAGAGTATAACTGGCACATCGATCAGTGTGACATTGTGACCCCTTGATAGATTATAATTTATTTTCATTTTACACTGACCACTGTTCTTCCTTTCCTCAGTTTGTCTGTGCCCCCTGTACGGGTATTGGGCGTGTGGGTGTGGGGGGGGTGTGTCTCTGTGTTTGTGTAGATCATCAAGATCAGTTCCTCAATCATTCCCTCCTCTACCCACCTTGCCCCTACTATTCCTGTTCCTGGATTCCATATGTCGGGGGCTCTTATCTACACCTATGCACATGCTCCAGTCTAGCCCACCGTGAAAGGAAGAACTGGGGTCATAATAGTGGGGAATGAGGAAGCCTCAAGGAAACAAAGGAATAATGTGTTTCATCAGTGCTTTACTACAATCTGATTGACTCATCCTTTCCCTGTTAACCCTGTGAGGGGAGGTCCCATTGTCAACAAATGAGGAGCTTTGGGTCTCTGTCCAAAATCTTTTTCTGATACCAAGGGCTCAATAGAAAGTAAATGTCTAGAAAATAATGATGGCAACATATTCATAAGTATGCTTCATGCAAATGATATATGGATTGTTAGAAAATCTGTAAGAGCATCCAATAAAATCTTTATGCTAATATCACCAAACATTAATTCTCAATTATACTGCTAGTGATATAATTAGTGATCTCACTTACATGGTTAGTGAAAATACCCATTCTTCTGGTTATTTCCTTTCAAAATAATTACTGTAGTTAATCCCAGGAGACCAATTATAAGTTGTCTCAAAAAACTGTAGTTAATCCCAGGAGACCAATTCTAAGTTGTCTCAAAAATCTTTGCAAACCACCACACATCCCCACTCAGTAATTAACCTCATAGAAATATGAAATTATACATATGTTATACTTTTTTACATGCTAATAATGATGAAAATGTTCTCTAGTTGAGGATTGTACAACGAAATGTAATTGAACTACTGAATTGTATGAAATATCAATTATATGCCAATAAAACTATTGAGAGAGAAACAAAAATCTATTAAAGAATTTGAACTCACTCTTCCAAAAGGCTCAAAGATCCCTCGAAGCATATCTTCAGTTATGTTAAAGTGTAAGGAGCCCACATAGAGCCTCATAGGTCCAGCACTTCCCTTTTGTAGATTGTTTGCCATTGCTGCAGCTCTGTTTTTTTCTGCCTACAAACAAGATAGACACATTACCAATCACAAAAAATTCAAACAGTGCTAGGAGACAAAAGTCCCATTCCTTGAGCTTGTTTAATGACAAATGATGTCAAAGCCAACAATTAGGAAGAAAATCCCCGATATATCAACCATTACCACCAATGGCTGTGTAACTCAGACTGTAGGTATATGACTCCATATGAGCAAACTGCTCCATAAAGGTTTCCCATGAACCAGAACTCACTTTAAGCTTCCCATTAGCAGGTGAGCCTATCAATTGCTCACAGGATCCTCCACAGTCATCATAAAACTTATATTCTGGCTATAACTACATACATCACGTTAAAGTCAATCAAGAATGTTCAGTCAAATTTTATTTCACAACTTGTTCAAAACCATACCAACCACTAAGTTTAATTATCAATACAGCAATAAAGTAGCAAGATTTA